CGGGAGCCAGCCAATGGCTGGAATTCCAGGGCAGGCAGGGAGGGGAAGGGGGGGGTACATTAACCCTACAGGGGAAAGAGCTCCCGATGACATCTGGTTTGCTCCTACCTCTCATTTTCCGAGCGCCCGCGCCCTTCCCTCCCTCTGCGGCTCGGTTCACCCCAGGTTGCCGTTTGATGGCTTTTATGATCCCGCGCGGTGATTTATTTTCCTACCGACATCAGAAAGAGCTGAAGCTTCATGAAAGAGGGGGAAGTGTCATTACACCCCAATTTAGAGGTGGAGAAACTTTGGCTGGGCTCTCACAAAGGAGTTACCCAGCGGCAAGTCAGGATGTCCTAGTTTCCACAAGCCCTGAACACCTGACGAGGTTCCTACGAGCCATTCCGACCGGCTCCGGCTCAGCAATTCCACCCGGGCAGGAGCCAGGGCAAAATTTATCAGAGCCTGACGCGAGGCAGAGCGTCTCTGTTGTGCTTCTGTGGATTTCTCACATGCTGTAAGATTTTCCTGCCTGCTGGTGTGACTTTGGGGATGAGCACAGACACCCAGCCGTCCGTGGGGGTCAGCCTGGATCTCTGCCACCCACGTGCCTCAGGAGCTCTGGCTTGTTTTGGGGCTCCGTTGGGAGCCCTGAGAGGTGCAGGTGGCTTGTGTAGGTTTTGGGATTAGGGTCAGGACTGTGGCCTAAATCCACAGGGATGGTAATTTGTCAGAGGACGTGGCCAGGCTGGGCGAGGCCGCGCAGGGCGGTGCTGGTGCACAGGTTATTGGTGCTTTATAGAGGCTGTGGTTGCCCCATCCCTGGAAATGTTCAGGGCCAGGTTGGACGGGGCTTGAAGCAACCTGGGCTAGTGGAATGTGTCCAGTGTGGAACAGGATCTTTAAGGTCCCTCCAACCCAAACCATTCGAGGACTCTCTGCAACCATTCGAGGATTCTCTGCCAAATCACCTGCGCAGGGGCAGAAGGAGGAGGAAAAGATGGGGCAGGTGACCATCTCCAGTGTCCTCCTCCCCCACACGGGGGTCCTGTCAGGGCTGTCCAGCCAGTGCTGTCACTCCCCAGGGTCCCTTTAAGGTCTCAGATGTGCACTGGGACGTTCATTCCCTGTTTGGCTTTGATGGGAGGTTGGTTTCTGCAGCTTTATCTCGGCCCATTTGCTGCAGTGGACTTTGTACCCCCGGGTGGTGGTGGGCCCCCCCCCTGCCCTGCACTCCCCCACTCCTCCATCCCTCCACAGGGCAGGAGGGTTAATGGGCAAAGTCCTCGCTGGGAGACACGGGGGCTGAGTGCACAGAGGGGTCACTCAGGGCTTTCCCAGGTGGGATCAGCCACTGCCCCATGGGAACATCCCCTGGGCGCCAGGTGAGCCCACACCTGCACCAGGTGTATGTGAGGGGCACGACACCAGCCCGAGGGGTCCCTGCTGCTGGAGCACTGTGGGGTGACCAGTGTGACTGGCAGCATTCCTGGGGACCCCCCGTGTTCCCGGCGGGAAAGCTGTGCCCCATCCCAGGCCACACGCCCTCCGTGGGTGTTAT